GCCGGCCGGGGAAAAGTTCGCGACCTGGGGGGGAGGGGCCAGCCGGGGCGGAGACCCCCACCCCCTCCGGGGAGCCCCGCGGGATCGGATGCCCGCAGTGCGTGCCCGGGCTGCGAGGAAGGTGGGGAGACGCGGGGCTCTAGAGCGGGCCCCCCAAAAAGTAAGGGCAGAGCACTGCGTCCTGAGTCCACACTGCTCAGCAGCCTTAATTGTGAAGAGGAGAAGCAAGCAAATGCTGCCACGCGCTCAGCGGGCCTGGCTTTGTCCACGCCCTGCGGCGGGGCGGTGGGGTCTGGCTCGCATCCCCACGACCGGGGGGTTCCCGAAATCAGCCCCTCTTCCGGGCTGAAGCAGGTAGAAACGCGAAGCTGCCACTCCGGGCCCTGCGCGCCGCTTGCCAAAAAGCCTGCGAAAGTTTTCCCTAACTCAGCATGCTGGCTTCCCGGCCACCCCACCCACCCCGATTAAAGACGGAGTGGCAAATTGTTGCTAGACGTCGAGGGCGGCACGTGGGTGGCCGCTGCGCAATTCCTCTTCTCCTAGATCCTGTCCTTAATTTGCTGGAGAGGAAATGGAGCCCAGGAAGCACGGATACCTGGCCCGGGGACTGGGAGGAAATAAAAGCGTGGAGGGGTGAGGACCGGAGGCTGGGAGGGGGACTGATAGCGCGCGCTCCAGAGCCCTTTTCTACTCCTTGAGTTCAAATGAGCCCGAATACTACCACCGGGAGATGTGCGGACAGGGAAATGAAGCAAGATGACCAAGTGGAACAACAGCTAAGTTGGACCCGTCCAGAGCGTGGAGTCGCGGGCTCCGCGAGCAGGCTGCGCACCTAGGACTATCCTGATGCTCAGACAGAGCCAGAGAGCCAACAGCCCTGCCGCATCTCGGACCAATGGGTTCATCCACACCATCACTTCCACCGCGATATTTTTAGCGCAACTTGCCGAAGACCACGCTGGACAAGACAATAGGCCTGAACCCCAGGTAGCCACCAGCCTAGCTGGACAATAGGCCTGAACCTCAGGAAGCCACTAGCCTACCCTCGAGTAACTGCTCAGCTCCAGCCTGACCAAAAGAGGCTCAGGAATCACATGTAAGCTTGTTGGAGGCAACTTTGTGGGGGAAGCTAGACCCTGAAGGTCCCCATTTACCCAGCACCTCACATCAATGGGAACTGGTCCGCATGCGTCATCCTGTGTTCTGGTGTCTACCCTCCAATTGGGGTTTCCCATTTTATGAGCGGTGAACATTGAGCCCAGGGACATTTTCCCTTCATCCTAGGTCACACAGAACCACCCCAGGGAGGTTTATACTCCAGAACTGGCTGTTGAGCCCGGGGAGGGCCACAGACAGGGACTCGAGACCAGGGGTAAGTCACCTGAAGCGGGCAGGGCTGTTCTTTACACCGGCGCAGAGGTGAGGCGCTCAAACGCAGCACTCCTGCTAGCCCAGGACAAGGAGGCACTGGAGTGAGGTAAGGGAACCAGAGGAGCAAGGTCCCCCTGACCCCAGAACAGGCAAGTCTGGGTTTGCGTCTCAGCCTGTCCCTCACTGCTGTGCAAGCATGAGCAGGTTTGACCTCTCTAAGCCTCCGTTTCCTTACCTCTGGTTCCTTCATTTGCATCAAGGTCGAGGCATAGTCTGGGCCCCCAGCTGTCCATCAGGGGTGCTGCAGGGAGCACTTGGCCATGTCTGGAGATATTTGTGGTTGTCACAGTGGGCAGAGTGCTATTGGCCCCTGATGGATAGAGGCCAAAGATGCTGCTGAATATCCTGGAGCACACAACAAAGAATGACCCTGCTCAGCATGTCCCTAGCACCTGGTCTGGTGTCGTGGAAAGACCTTCGGCATGGGGAATTCAGGACCCTGGCTCCCACAAGCCTTCTTCTCATTTCACTCCATCTCTAGCTGCTTTGCTGCACCCTATACGCTGGGGATATAGAGGCCTCCTCTCTCATCCCTAAATAAGTGTGACCTGTCATCATTATTGTCCTTACTCCTCTGAGCTCAAGCCAGCTCCAGCCCGTGCCTGCGCACAGTGCAGAGAGAAGGCTGAAGCAGCAGAGCTGGCAGAGCTGGTATTTGTTTCGACTCTGTTAGAGACACTAAGTAAGTGAGTGCTTGTAAATTATAAGGCGCAGTTTATAAATTAAGATATAAAAATGGAAATGCAGATTACTTTGGTTTGGTTCCAAGATCTTCAGCAGCTTTTAAAAAAAAACCTTAATAGATAATCAGAGAGACACAATCTGTTTCCAGGAAATAACAAGTATTTTTGAAAATGTAAAACTCCTCATTCAGATTACTTACTCAAGCTGAGCCTGAGAATATGAACCCGCATTCCTACAGGGGGTGAAACGGTGCAAGCAAAGTAGCCTCTGGGCTTTCAAACAGGATCCCCCTACGTTACTGTATGTGCCAGCAGCTCAGAATAATGTCCCTCCACACACCACCCATCCAACTACCTTTCAGTTTGCAGCTTAGTGTCTATCAGTATCTGAGAGGGGACCTCATGTAGGGAGGAGATGACAGTCTGATGGAGGACTTTCCTCACAGCTTTGTGGGGAGATGGAGCCAGGCAAGTGAAAGGAGACCAACTGGGGGACAGAGGCCAGGGAATGGGCAGTACAGGCAGAAAGCCCAGCACAAGCAAAGCCCTCAGCTGGAAAAAAGAATTAGCTTATAAGGATCCCAGTGAAGGATCCCAGTGTGGCCAGAGCACACGGAATGAGCGAGAGATGAGATGAAATCTGAAGGTGGGAAGGAGCCAAGCTGTGCAGGACTTGGGAGGCCAAGGCAAGAAGCCCATCTGTCATCCTAAACACCAGAGAGAACCGTGGAAGACTAATGAGAGAAGAGGCACAGAAGATAACACAGTTTTCTGACTCTCAAGTGGAGAATGGGTTGTGCTAGTGCTGGAGAGCGAAGACGGCATCTGGGACTCAGCAGAGATGCAGAAGAGAGGTGCAGATTCAAGATACTGCTTAAAGGAAAGACCAGCGAGCTTACCATTAGGTTGGATTTAGGAGGAAGTCAGATGAAATGTCCAGCTGTCTCCAAGGTTGGGCTGCATCCAGTGGGAAATCTTGTCCATTTTTTTCCCCAAAGAGTTTGCCAGTCCCTTTGACCACACCACCCCACTATGCCTCTCTTGTGCTTGGCTGCCGGTCAGATGTAGATGTGTTTCTGGCTTCCCATCATGGCCCTTCAGAAACAGTGAGTATCAGAGTCTGGACTCGATCTGAATCTGCCCGATTTGCCTCTTGAGTTCAGTCATGTTTTTGAAGGACTGCCTACCGCTGTCTTACTCAGCTTCCTAAATCAAACAGAGGGTGCTCAGGACTCTGGCCACCGTTTCTGGTGACCTTTGTCACCTCTTCTTTACTACCAGTGCGATGGACTTCTGTGGGGTTTTTGTCACCCCATGTCAGACGCCCCTTCTCGTGGCAATAGGACAGGATTTCATGTTAGAGGAAGGTGCACAGCCTCAACATTCAATCCATGTGGCTCATTTCATGAATGCCTTCATCTCTGATTGCACCAGTTGTCTAGACTAGAACATTCCAGAATATTCCATCTTCCCAGCCACAGTGACAGGTTCAGGATAAATACACCACCAAGTGGAGCAATCTGAGCTTATAAAACTCCTTGAAAGAGCTTTTTCTTGAAATACTGGTTGGCAGACTCTTTTCCACTGGCCTGGAAGTTGTGTTGCCATGCGCCAGAGAACACTGTTGTGGTTTGAATTTAAAATGTTCCCCCAAAGTCTCAGAATTTCATACACACCAGATCCCAGCCACTGTCTTCAGAAGTAGGGCTTTTTGGAAAGTGATTGTGGATTGACTCACTGATGAGATCTAATTTGATCACATTATTGGGAGATGGAAGAAACTTAGGAAGATGGAGGCATGACCTTAGGGGCAGTATCTTCTCCCCAACCCTCCTCCCTCCCTCCCTCCCTCTCTCTCTCTCTCTCTGCTTCCTGGATTGCCATGAGGTGAGCAGCTTTCCTCCATCTTCCCTTCTGCCATGTTTCTGCTTTGGAGGCAGCCAACCATCCACAAGCAATGAGCTGAAAGAAACCTTTCTTCTTCTAAGTTGATTGTCTCAAGTATTTTGCCAAGTGATGGAAAGCTAACAAAACCCCACATATCCAGAGGAAGGTCCACCCCTTTCCCTGTGGGAGAGGAATCCTGATGGTGTTTTTAGGACACAGATCAAGCCACTCTTTAGATGTATAAGACAATCCATGCCATTTTTTACTTAACTAGTCTCAATGTGGTTTTTAGTCTTGTGAGAAAACAATGTCAACAAATCAGCCACCACCACCAAAATTGAGGCTAAACAAAACCCAGAATCCCCAGCTGCACCTCCCCACGTGCTTTGCCCTTTCTCCCTAATTCGGGGTATCCTTTCTCAACCCTGTGTCAAAGAAATTTTGAAATCCTGTCTTCCCCATTTTGTCCTGTTTTCCTCTTGAATAATACTTCCAGAGTTTTGTGAGTTTTATTAGTTTTCTGAAGGAACCAAGTTATGCTATTGTTGATTTTCCCTATTCTGCTTTGGTTTTGTTTGTTTGTTTCTATCTTTGTTAATTTTCTCTGTTCTGAGTTTACAGTATGTTGTCATCCATATCATCT